AGAGAGAGAGAGAGAGAGCTTGATGCATTCTCCACTTAAAATACACTTTTTTTTTACCGTGAAGCAACTACCGCCTCTTAATTTTCTGACACAATCGACACAGGTCGCATCATGTGTGTGACATTAGGTAAAACTAAATATGTACCTGCAAGTACAAGCCGTTTGACCCGCTCTACAACCTCATCGTTCTCGTCGATCAATGGTAATTCCCGCAAAAGAGCAAAATGCGCCATACTTTCAGCATAGACCTCCTGCACCATCTTTTTACGACTTTTGATTTCCGGGTCAGCCTCCACGGATGCGTTCACTAGTTGCTGCAATCTGTCCAGTATCAATTCCCGAAGTTTCTTGAGATACTCGTCGTGAGCGTCATGATCGGCGTCGATGCCACCTTTACGATATTCCACGTGCAAAGGTAAAACATTGTCATGAGGCAGGACTGTCTGGATACGGGTCTTGAGCTCACTAGCAGCGACCGCACATCCGGGTGCACCTTCACCCGTCCATTCGCGAATCACGGCCATTATTCCCAAGCCCTGCTCATCTAGACCTGATAAGTATTATTATTATTGAATGATTAGTATTGTGTTATCTTACAGCCTGTAGCGACGGAAGGTTTTTAGAGCGTTTTATCCCTGGTGCTTGTAACAATGTTATTTCTAGCGCGCCTTAATAATACATTTAAATGGAGTATTGTCAAAAAGAACTAGAGAGATCAAGACTACTTGGAATTATTAAAATTAAGATAGAAATAGCCTCTGAAAGCCTCTGAAAGGTCCAAAAGGAGAAAAAATTTCATCAATGACATTAGAAATAATAATCATAAAAGAAAGTCAATACTAGAAGGAATTTATAGATCCTTGTTAGATATATCTAAGGATTTCAAACTTTTCTATTTTTTTGCGCGAGTGAGTGATTCAAAGATGAACAATTTCTCATACAAGTAAAATTTCTATCGATCAAATCGCGAATTATCAAATAATTGCGATCTGTTGAAATATTCATAATCCATTTCTTTTTAACCGGCACAAGGTGACTAAAAATAAAATTGTTAAAAGCACCAATTAAATTTCCTGGCAGAAAAACGCGAATTAACGCGGCACTGAGCGGCTCAATTTCCAGGCTTTCACGTAAAAGCTCGTTGTGCTATAATGCACAATGCAGTGAGCACACGCAATTCATCGCAAATAGCTGTCGCACTTTTGACATTGCAGAATAATTTAAACGGCACACGACCCAGAAAAGGTCTCCTATTTTTGGAAAAGAATGCTCGATATGTTCATCATCAGGATTGAAACAATCTTGAAATATACTGCGCCATCGCGTGGCACTGAGCAACTTGATCAAATATTCGCAGTGACAACGGCAATATTTCAATCTATTTCAGTTTACATAATTTATTTATCTTTTTATTCGCTCTTGTCAAAGTATGTATGGAACTGATCGTATGTCGGAATGCTTACTCTTTTAGAGATCATATATCATATAAAATATTTTCCATTTTCAGATTTATATTTTCAAAAGATCGCAAGTTTGTAAACGCTAAATTCTACCACTTACTTAGGCCGTAGTCCAATTGCCGTTCCGCCGTACTCTTCAGGATGTACTTGAGCTCCTGGTTTTCCGGTTGCTCTGCGATCGCGCATTCCACGGCAGTTCTTAGCGCCTGACGTAAGCTCGGTTCCTGTTCTTCCTGCCATGCTCGCTGAGCGGTTTGCACACTATTTACACACATAATATTGCTAAATAACTCGAAAAAAAGTGTTTTTCGAGAAGGAGAATTCTAAACTTTAGTATTACCCATTTGCTTTCAAAACATAAGAATGTCCGTTGTGCTCGTAATGATCCTTAAGAAGAGCGCAGTGTGCGAGAAGCGTTTGGAAGGTGGTCTCCTTCAGTTCTGTCGGCACCCATCCTGCGGTATAATCTGTTCCCGTCAACAACTGAAAGAATAACAAATGGACATATATTAGTCACTTCTCCGCACCTTCTTCGAGCATATTCTACAAATGTACCTGAAATCATCTCTAAGCTCAGCATCTAAGAGAGAGGAGAGACTGGCAACGTAACGCGTGCTATAAAAATAAAGTGGTACTACGCGCTACTACGCGCGAAAGAAAGTGAAATCGCATAATAATGTCATTATCATACATATTAAAGAAAATATCTACAAACGCTATTTTCATTTTTAACTGCACAAAACAATGGACAAAACAATTTTTGTACCAATTTGATTTTGGACGACAAAAAAAGTAAAAAATTTCTCTGTGTAACATTGCATATTTTATAGAAACATATTAATATAAGCTATCTGATTAAGTGTGTATATTTGATATTTTCATCATATTTGTAGAGAGAATATTCGATTAAAATATTTCGCAAGGGTGGAATGTGTGATGAATCGCATACGGTTTCTAACTTTCTACACAGTAGAGTGAAAAATAAATGTAGCGGCGCGGTGCCGATCGATACCGGTGCCGCCAAATATTCCTCACCAGGAGAAAACAACCCCGAGAATATCGTTGAGACACGTTTATCTCCTCCAGAAAGAATTCCGCTAAACGTGGATTGACGTCCGGGTTAACGCTGGCACCGTACTGCATGTCCACCAACAGCACCTGCACAAGCCGAGCACACATTTGCAGATGAGTTGGCGAGCTCGATCACAAGAATAAATAAAATTCGCCTACTGACCTCAATGCCCATATCATCGTAGATTGATTGCAGCTCTGGACCGACCATTTCCAACAGCTGTTTGCGTTCCTCCGAAAAATCTAGCGGACAAAGTTGCCAGATAGATTTAATTTCATATTTAATAATATTAATATTAATATACAACTTTGTATACGCATGCATTCTCTATTAGTTAACGGATCCGTTTTTCACTCTTAATCACTTCATTCACTCGTAATTTGTCGGATTTTCACACAAAATTTCAAACTCTACATTTCTCTTACCATCTCTCTCGCCAGCGATGAATATCTTGATCAGCCGTGGTGCTGGCAGATGTGCAGGAGGTAAACCGCCTTTAATGACCCCCGCGATCAATTCCACCTCGAGATTCATGTTTATCGAGGATTTCCGCAATTTCAATTAGTCAACAATCATCTCTTACACACACCTTTATATGCTCAGCATCTGATGGGTTCTATCTCGTGTAGAGCCTGAGAAATACTTCTATTTTCGATTCGCAACAATATTATATCGCTCGATTGCCAGCTCCGTTGGCCGTTTTGTTATTAGAAATCTTGGATTTCTTCAAGACTATTCTCGACTATTCTCCTTTTACATATTAAATTTTTTATGTTCTTAAATCCATAAATATTCACGTGTCTTTGTGTGGACGTTGATGTTGTTTAAGCTCATCCGATCTTCTTGTCGTTTGATAAAAGAATCTCTGGACATGTGATGGTTTGGCTATTTGTTACCATTGTAAGTCTTGGACGATTGGATTCTCAAATTTTTCAACAGTGGCTTTTTGAATCACGTCTATCAAGTGCAATCTGTTCTAAATTGCTTAAATCTCTTATATTTCTCTGCATTTATTTCTATTTTTTTTAACCAATTGGCTATTGCCCATAAGGTACTCGTGTATCAATATACTTTTGATCGATCCGGCGATCAATAATTTAATAATATGCAATCAATGCCCAACATATAGGGATCATAATCTTGATCGCAATCATATATATATATATATATTTATATATATATATATACACACACACACACACACACACATATAGATATATATATAGATATATATATATATATATGCATATACACATATATGTACGAATGTATATCTATATTTATCAATTCAGTAACTAACTAATCAGCTACGATTGTCTTCGCTTGCGAGTGCAACGAGCGTTACATTAATCCGTCAATTGTGATCAATTGCGATTAGGCAATACCCACTATTATCCTCGGATCCATTCCATCGATCGCTAAATAATATAGATCGATGAATCGCGTGAAAGCGATTTGATCGCCTCCCCGTTCCGTTACGTTTGTACTTATTCCAAGCGTGTCCATCGGTTAACGTAGCCAAGATACGACAAGCTTGAGAAGGTGGAAAAGGTGGATCAAGACCCAAACGTGCGCATCCTATGTTCCCATTTTAGGAGCAAAGACCCTCTGCAATCAGAAATAGAAGAAACAAAAATGCAATATTCGTTAGAGTTTTGCTGATGTATATAAAAACAATGTCATCTGCCAATATTTTATATCATCAAATTGTCAATATTTCATCAAATTTGTCAATAAGTATTTAAGTTACGATTTTCCACAAAAACAAATAAAAATGGAAAACTTAAACTAATCGGAAAATGATCCAAGTTTGAAACTTTAGATATCCCAAAAAGAATTAATAAAATAACTTGTAAAACTTGTGTTAGAGTTTTCACAATATGTACACCATATGTATCCTCAATTAACTGCAACGTAAGTTTTTTGAATTGTTCAGACAGTTGAAATCGTTCGAATAAACCTTGAGGTCGAAAAGGCCAAATACTTGATATCTGTTTGATCTCGAGGTCCGAACTATTCGAATTGTCCATCATCTGAAATTTCCGAGTACTAAATTGAAGCGTGAAGATTGTCTTCTCGCTCGCGCACGCTCGCGCGTGAAACTCGAATCGATCCAGCTTTCTTTTGCTAAAGGAGCGTGCGTGTGGTACTTGACGCATCACCGTGAGGATACACCAAGTATTTTAGGAGGTTCGCGATATGTATTGATCTTTTCATCGGTCCGTCGGCACGGCATGGCACGTCGCGCGGGTGCGACGCAGCATGTTTCGAGAGTATATCGATAATTAAAAATGAACAGAACGCAATCTCTCAATCAAATATCAAATGCGCCTGTCGAATGCACACCGCGGTATGTATCGTAGCGGAACACGCTACAAGACCTTGATTTTATACACGAGATCACAAAGAACCTTATGTGAACATCGATCCAATACACAGCTGATTTATGTTTTAATCATATATATATTGTAATTACGAAATTCAAAGCTAAATCTAAAACAAGAATTTGAAACAAAAAGTACGCAAAGCATTATATGCCTAGTGTACAACTCCAAGATCCGGTGTATATTTCTACTGAGGAAAAATCCACTTCAAACTGATCATTGAGAAAAGATTTGCAAACTTTTCAATATATTGTATTCTTTTGTACGTCCTAAATTGTTTCCTAATCAATCCAAGAAAGGATTTATTTGTGAATCTATAAAACATGGGCGATATTTAGATATATGTTTCAACGACGTTTCAACGATGTTCTCACGGTTACGTGTTGCATCGCAAAAGCGAAGAACGCACATATATATGTATACGAATGCTTGCCAAGTCATTGTAGCGCATGTACGGTACATTCGGTCCATTCGGTTATGAGATGGACACAACAAACAAGCTTTTACATTGCCGAGTGTCGAGCATGCAATTATCGCGTCGTCGCGACTCACAATTAGATCAACCGTGCGAATTGGCGACTGATCTTACTAATTACAGATGCTGTCATTTTTTCGGGGGATACTAGAGTTTCACAAAATTTCACTATTTTTAACATCAGTGTTCGAAATCAAATGGTGTGACATACACTATTGAATTTTTGGATTGAAAAGCAATAGTATGCCAATAGTGATCCAATATTAAATAATTTTTAGGCCAAAAGATATAGAGAGCCGTTAGAATGTATCGGCTACAAATCAATCGATATCAGCTAAAAATGATTAAAATTTCAAAACAATATATTTCAACAATGTATTCCTTATCTCATACCGAAACGTAAAATAATTAGATTTAGATTGTATAAAAAACTACAATAGATATCACAAATTAACTCAAGTTTTAATTACAACGTTTATATTAAATATTTGGAAATATTTGCAATATTAATATTTTTGTATTAACTTTTAATAATAAAGAAAGAGAGAAAATTTATCAACATTTCTTGAAATTACAACGACAAAACAACAAGCCATTATCAAATCATAATTGACAGAATAAATTGCATAGCGCAACAAACATGTTTTTTACTGCAGTTTTAAATCAAACAAATTTTAGTCAAACCAGTCAGTGAATTTGAACGAAATTTTGTACAAATATTACAAGTTTGTTAGTGTATATAAAAAATTTGACCTGACTGGCAATATGTGTTCTTCTTCAAATTCTTCTTTGCCAAGTTTGTCAATGCGTGTTACAGTGTCAATAAGTACTACATGATTTTCCATAAAAATCAATATAAATATAAAAATTAAATAACTTTTAAACTAATCAAAGAATAGTATCTCTCTTTCTCTCTCTCTCTCTCTCTCTCTCTCTCTCTCTCTCTCTCTCTCTCTCTCTCTCTCTCTTTCGATTTTGCGCAGATACGCAAAATAAATAATAAAACAATCCGTATAATTATTACTGTTTTGTCAATGTTTTAGTAACCCTGTTTTGCTAATGTAACTTATACACAGTATGTGTCTAAAAATTTTTTCTTAACGTTTCATGTAAATTCCATCTACTCATAATTAATAAGCGTATTAAAGCTTCATGTTTGTTTTAACAAGTATTTCATGAGCATCAAACATAGGAAGAAAAAAACTGATATCAAAAGTTCTCTTTTCTTAAACACGGTGAAAACTATGACGTAAACTTGAAGACTGACTATACGACATTATGCGACCACCTTCTATTTCCAAAACTCAAAAGAAACTCACTACGATTCCGAAAATGGATCTCTGGAAGCCTATCTGTGCATGTGATTGATAGTATCCAACAATGTATCTATGTCCGAGAGACATACTTTGAATAAAAGGAATGATTGTTATACATACAATTAGTGTTTCAATTGATATAGTGTCAATCTCTCGTTATCTTTCAGACATACTATGTATATTCTTAGTTGCCTATACGGCATATCTCGATTGAAATTTAATAGCGCTTGCTATATACTTCGTCTCACTTAGCTTTTCTCTTTAACCGACTAAATCTTTCATCTTCATAACTTGGAAATCGAATTATAAATATATACTCGACATCAAATTTTACATTTCTACCTCTACCCAAATTTCAAGCGATAGGTACTTAATTAAATTATAAAATGTAACATACTTTATGTTATCGAGTTGTGTTGAAACACACAAAATGCCGCGAATTTCTTACAGAATGTAAAATAATTAGACTACCGGCTTAGTAATTTTTTTATTAATTTGGCCTATTTACCTATCTTTTTTTGTTTAAACAATCAACGGATAGAGCTCTTTTATAATGAGATAAACCAAGATAAAATCTTGAATGGAGAATCGAAAGGAACTAGAAGCATTAATCGTTATTACGAAAAAGAGAATAGCCACAGCGCAAGAGACGATGATAAGAAAATAAAAATAGAAAAATACCATCTCTCGGAGGATTGTCGCTAAACATAGATCTACCCAGAGCCGACCAATTAACCTTCCGCCAACGCTCGAACAAGGGTTGCACGTATTTGTTTACAAAGTTTATTATTTAATACTTGAACCGTGGTGTAAGATTTTCTCAGCAAATGCCATCGACTTTGCTATTTACGATTAACTTTTCTCAAAAAAATACCTCGTCTAATTCTAAACACTTAAACATTTGATTTGAAAAATATCCTAATTATAGGAATGATTTTCATCAAGCTATTAAAATGTGATAATGATTTCTCCCGTAAATTCCCGTAAAAATTTGTTTCTCCCATTATTTAGAGTATTATACTACTCCCAGCGTGTAGCATAATAATACCCAACTATACATATACCGTCGCCTCCACCTTTACCGAATTAATTCGCGCTTGTTGAAAGATCATAACAAAAGAGTTATTCAAATATTTCGACCAATAAATCGTGTCGTTTCGCGATTATCGATGAAACGTGCGTTAAACCAAGACAATCGCGTTCCCGAAATACGAATTTATTAAACACGAAGCCTCGAACTCGTTTCGCCAAATCTATTCTCCTTTCCCGCTTGCTTAAGGCCTCCCTAATGGCGTTCTATTTGAATCTCTCTCTGGAAATTTTATTTTACGTTTTATCAGAGCCGCGATCGGCCGTTTAAGATAGACAGCTGGCCGCCACCCCCAACGGAGAAGAAGCAGATAAATCGTGGGGTACATATTCTGCGCCGTCGTCGGCCCGGTCGATGCTGGACTCGAAAAAAAGAAAGAGGGGAGTAGTGGGGAGTCCAGTCAAAACAACTCTTACCCAGGTCGTCGAGCGGGTGGTCGTTGGGTGGTCGTAACTGAGGCCTTCACCTGTTCACGCGCGGACGACGACACTACTACTGATAACGCAGTCAAGCGGCCGACGCCTCCCAGAAGCACCGAGCGCTAGGCGCCGACGCTGACGCCGACGCCGACGCCGACGCCGATGCCGACGCTGACGCCGGCGCCGACGTCAACGCCGACACCGACATTGATGAGCTGAAACGGGAACGATTACGATATACTTATCGTTATCTGTACATGATACAAATTTGCATCTTTATAATATCGAATATGTAAAGTTGGAAAATAAACATAAAATTATAACAGATTACAAATATTTTAAAAAGTGCCAATTATAAAACAAATATATTCATTAAAGAAGAAAAACTTACATTTAGTTAATTTTCTATGTAATCAATATTTAGTTCAATCAAAGCATCTGTTTAGCCTGGAATACTTTTGTATTCCGATGTATTCGTAAACAACTCTGTCAACTGCGGAGATTTCATTTCTTTCATTTCACTTCTTCATTCATTTCGTCTTCATTAACTCCTCACCTGTTATGAAATAAAAACGCTTCACATTACCGAAAGAATTATTTTTATGAAAGAACGGCTACATTCACGTAAAAATTACATTTAAATTTACGGTCAAAGTTTTAGAATTTTAAGTTATAAATGCTATAATGTGTGGCAAAGAGACATATTTAAATAATTTTCAAATAATGATGGTATTGCATCCACAGATATCTTCCAATCATCATGAAAAATGGAAGCTTTATTGTATATTTACGAAAGAAAGAGACACAGCTCCTATCTTCGACGCCGTCGGCCTATGTATCTTGAGACAAATCGATTGAGAAAACTTGCACATTCGACATCAGAAACGAATGACAAACTAAAAGTTTCCGGAGCATTGCCCGTACTGTTGGTGATTTATAGAAGCTGAGCGATACACAAGCTAGATAAGGATCGTTAAAAGATTTACAATCATTTCCTATGTAATACGTGTGTGTATACATATATTGCACAATAACCAATATTCAATGACAATCGATAAATAAATAATACAGCCAATTGTCACGCTATTTTTGCCTCTGGCAAAAAGTGGTGAGAAAAAAAAACAACGCTTGGAAAAATCGTTTGGCAGTATCAACAAAGCAAACAAGATTATTTTACAATATTGATTTGTTTATTCATTATATCATTTCGCCAGTCCTATTATTCGCCTCAATTTATTTGTTATAAAGTCCCTTCTGGCGAGTTAATCCGCCTCGGCAATCTATCGATATTTTACATTCACGCAAAATCATTCTCCGTTCTTTTCTTATTCTTTACACAGTTCAGTTAATGAATTACTTAATTAATTCAATTGCAACAATCTTTCAATTGCAACGTCAATTATTCGAATTTGTCGTCGTTTTATTCGCTGCAAAGCTTAATTTTACAATACGGATTAACAGCATGCCACTATTTAGTGACATGTGCGATTAATTATATAAGATAACTTTTTACGAGTTGTTACTATCCCTTTGTTCACTTTATTGCTCGCGGATAATAAAATTGCGAGAGTGCGTTGCTTCATCACCATGAAATATTTTCGTTTGGCGGCACTCGTCCTGCAAATAATTCCATTTATTACTTATAATGAAAATGCAAAATTGCAGTCATTTAATTCCGTTTCTATTGCATATAATTATGTATAAATAATACTTTTTACGTTTCCAAAAGTGGTATTTAAGATAAGAACACTTGCGTATATATCAATTCGCGACAATAACGACATCTGAATAATACAGCAAGAGAGCGAATGAATGCAGAAAAGAAATAACAGAGTTTAAAAATATTCTACAAAAGCATCAAAATCATCTATCTCGTGTTGATGTAGCTCGATTATTGCTATTGAAAAAAGTTGTAACTTGTATTTGTAATTGTAAAATTGTAAAAAATCGGATTTGCTTGACGAATCCAAACATAGAGAAATTGTTCAACCCAAGTTTAACCCAAGAGACGCGCGAGAACACAATGGATTGTGTATTGGAGTTATCAATGGTGAATAATAATAATAATAATAATAATAATAATAATAATAATAATAATAATAATAATAATAATAATAATAACAATAATACAATACTATATTATTAAATGCATCAGTGCTTTCAACGGAGCTATCACTGCTGCATAAAATGGCATAAGACCTTGAATCGCGCGATATGTCCCAATATATCTCGAATAACCCACGACCGATACTTGATGAATGGTGATGAATTCATGATCACGTAAAATAGATCGCGCAACTTTTTTTAGTCGCGTAATAATGATTTTCCATAAATCCCGTGACTTATGGATCTATGTATCTAATTAACACTTCCAGCAGGAATCGGTTGGTTTCACACAAGCACTCTTTAAATCGGTCACTCCTTCACTTGTGTCTTCAGATGCTGCAAGAATTCGTAATAACTGAGAGCAGATTCGAATCGGTCTTCTATCAATCGCTCGACGAATAATGTCCTAAAGTGGCTGTCATCCCTAAAAATACGTCTTACATTACAAAATATATTGCACTGGAGCTAAATAACATTAACAACAAATATATAAATAAAAATGTAACAAGTAGAGAAAAATATATCATAGATGAAAATAATGGTATGAATCGTTCTAGACTGTAGAAGTAACGTATGATTTTAATTGAGAGTTTACAATGTGCCCTGCAACTAAATTTTTAATAACTTTGACGTGCACCTACATGCTCTTCTGCCATTTATTGAAAATTGCCGAACCATTTTCCATACAACCCAATATATATACAGCAGCAATTTGCTTACCTGATAATTTGTATAGGTACATAGTACGGCTTTTCTTCTTGCAAACTGAATACAAAATTTCGCAATCGTTCGTTTTCCATCGTGTCCAATTCCGGTAATTCGTGCTACAAAACAAATGGTAATTTGTAATCAACAATTTAAATAGTGGATTAATTATACCGACCAGCAAAATTAAGCATTTCTTTTGTTATTTAGAAAAGAAAAATAGTTTTCTATAGTTTCTTTTATGCATTCAATTCGAATTCAGCCTTAAAAAGTGCATATTGCGAATACATCAGGATAGAGATAATAAAAGAGCAAAAAATTCCAAAAATAATGATTTTTACCATATTTATGATGCTATTCTAGAAAAAAAAATCTTTTTCTTCGACAAAAAAATAGATGTAAAAAAAGTAAGCATATTTTTCTTTTATTTTCTCCAAATTCTAATGTAATATTTACTTGTTAAAATCAGTTTTGAATTAAACGTATAAAAAACTACGGAAAACTATTCCTTGCTGCCAAATAACAGACCCATGTAGAGCAATGTTATTAATAGATTTTTACAATTTAGAATAAATTATATAATTCAAAAATTTTAATTTTTGACAGAGAGCCGATAAAAATCGTGCAATGCTCACCATTTCCTCCGGAATAGATACAAACGCCGAAACTCCGAGTACATTAGAACAGAAAATTGGATTGATGCTTTTGCCGACATAAATGAAAATTTTGTCGCCAGCATCCATTAAGAAAGCGCCACGTGTATCGAGTTTCTCCGCAGATAAATGAAGCCGCGGCGGCTGCGGACAGACCTTACCGTCGATGTCTTTCGAGTTGCGATCGTCAAGCGCATGTATAGGATACAAATCAGGATAAATCATCTGTATCATCTGCGCCAATGGTAATGTCTTAAGTTGAAACATAGCGAACACGCGATCGTCCAAGCGCGTGCTTGTACCAGATCTAAACGCTACCTGCAAATTTACAACAAAAATATTGAGATTGATAATGAATATATTGAAGATAGGTCATTAACATATAAATCTACATTTCTTTACATTTAACAATTATAAATCTGTAATTTGTTCTCAATTAAAGATATTTACAAATAATTATCAACTTAAGTTTAAAAATATTTGGATTTGACAACTTACGCTCTTCAACAATGCGATGATATATAATGGCAACAATTTTAAACTCCCTGGAGCAATGAGTCCTCCGATACCGGAAGATTGTGCCAATCTATACGCGGATAAGACATCTATGGCAACGTTTATCAGAGCGTCTCTAGCATCCGATAAAGACGCTTGAAGCGAGCGGTCGACAGCTACAAAGATATTTAAATATAAATGTCTATGTTAATTTCATCTAGTTACAAACATGTTGTAACCATTGTAAACATTGACCATCAATATTTTATTAATAATTTTATAAGCGTTTAATAAAATTTTTTAAAAATGAAGTTTAGGCATTAACAAAAGCTTTGATAAAAATAGTAATTATGTAGAAAAATAACTAAATTTATATATAATCGATTCAAATGTTACTGTACATATGCGACATATATGCGTCAATTGAAAATTGACCACCAGAAATTAACAACAGATCTGAATTCAGCGTCTTCTCTTTCAAGAAATCAGAATATAAAATTTTTACTTGATTTTTTTTCCTCCACAGAAATCATTCTTTGTAATAGTTTTCATTTCTTATATCTATAATAATTTAGAGATTGTACTCAGTTTTGCATTTCGTTGTGCAACGACTCATAATATGGTGGGGTTATAAAATGTTTGACTTACCCATTTTTGATAACAAGCCCACTATGCATTGCTGATCCGCGGAATGCAGAACATCCGATAGACTCGCCACAACTGGCAGGCACAGGGTGTGTACTCTGATCCTTCGCTCACCTTTACGTATAAATAAATTCATAAAAGAATTCTTTTTTTTAAGTTGAGATAGTATAAATATTAGATACATTACAAAGCAAATATTTATAAATTCTTCATCATCACTGTTTTCTCTATCATTGATTTCTATATATTTGTATATTACGTGATAATTAAAATATCATCCTTTTCAACGTTTCTTCATGATAATACCAATACTATTAATAATAATAATAAAATAACAATGATTTAATAATCAAAGTTGTAATTAAAAAACGATGAAAAATTTGAAATATTATAAAGAAACACTAAAAGGATGCTTCTACGGACAATTACCTTTGCTCGAAGTATAGAGAAGAGATGCTTGAAAGCACACATTCTGCACATTACACAGATTCTCGTCGATGGATATTTGCATACCGAAGCCAGCGTCCGGATTGATGTTCGGTAAGCAGAGAAGATCGGTCGAGCGAACAAAGAAACTGCCGTGGAAGGCATGGATGCTGAGACCACGAGTACAACGAAGCCGCATTACCGCTTCGAATCCAATTTTCCTAGTCAAGTAACGGCGGAGCAGTCTTTCCAATGTCTCAGCGTTTTGCGATTTCGATGCTCGAAACAGTGGCAGATGGTAAATGCAGCCACCAGTAAACTTTGACATACATGCTAAAAAGTATAATAAAAAGCAAATCAAGATAATTTTATAAATATCCATTCATATCACAGAGATGTTTTATATTTATAAATCTACTCAACATTGTTTATATTATTCATATTCATGTTTAAAATTTATAATAATTCATATTGTGTTAATTATTTTTATAAGTGGTTTTTATATCTATGTATATGATATAACGTTTATTATTCACAAACTCATAATTTTACACAGCAAAATTATTATTTTAATTGGACGATGTTCAACTGACTCTGTGAGATAGTTTACTTACATAAAGTCGCCAGATCACAGTACTGACTGTTCAACAAGAACAGATCAATCGCGATCTGCTGTCCACTACAGTCCAGAGCGAATCTCTTGTAAAAATCCGTCGCAGGATTGAGATGCGGCACATCCTTGTTCGCTCGGGTGTTGGGGTCCTCTCTCGGCTGCAAGACTCCCGGTCCAAGATTAGGCAAACACGTCTGAAAAACGGTAACGCGTCCTCCGGTGGCGGAGAGAAGCTTGAAGGCGGCTTGGAGACCGGCGCCAAGTGCGCTGCTAGTGTCATTAGTGCCGCAGAACTTGACGGGTAGCTGAGCGAGCAAATCGCGCACGAGACCCTCGCGCTCCTTTAGATTTACAATCAAATTCTCCGGACATGGCAGAAATACATCGTCGATGTCCAACATAATCATCTCATGTGGTTGCGAGACATTATCAGGCATGCTAAAAAAGTGCAAGGCGGAGTCGACAGCGAGAAAACCAATTTGAGTGCGACTGTCACCGGGAAGACGCGACAGTTCATCGATAATGGTATTGCAAACGATTTGTAGATAGCCACTCTCCACTGCGAGACGAGAAACATCCATGACGAAAAGATAGACGGCAGGTTGAGGTGGACGAACCTGAAATTTACAATAACATTACAATTTTGATCCTAATCTGTTAAGAAATAAAAATGCTTTATTGTTAAGAATGATTTTTATAAAAAGACAATTAAATTTACGTAAAAATAGTATGTTTGGGATCTTTTGGGATGCAAAAATCTGCAATCAAAATTATAAAATTCCAAATTGTGAACCAGTGATGTCAAAAGCAAACCCAAAAGCAGGACCGCAGACTCGCTTCTGGCATCACTGAGTCGTAAACACAAGGTGGCAATTACAAATTTGACCAATAAATTTTATATATAACTTTCAACAGTTTTAGAAATCTTTAAATTTTGAAAATTAAAATATAAGTTTTGTAAATCAAGAATAAAAAAAATAATATTGTAATTAAATAATATATTTATAAATTATTATATAAATAATAATTTTTGAGGATTTAACTAATATATTTATAAATAAATATATTAGTTAAATCGTCAAAATTAAATCCAGCGAGAAAGGAAACAAAACCTTCAGGATTGCTTGTTTTAACTAGTAATGTGTATTGAGGATTGATAAAAAAAAATTAATTACTAACCATGTATTCGCTTGGCGCAATAAATTCTATCGTGCCAGTTCTAACCTCTGGTCGTCGCGATGGATCGCCATATGATTTCGTCACTGGATCAAATTGAAATTCCTCAGGAACTACAACGACACAATACAAATGTTTTAATCTTTATATAATAAGCAATAACACATAAACAATTCCAGTAAGTTTATTACGTTCGTTCAGCCTGAAACAAAGATTGCACTTCCATCTCCTCGAGTCAACAAAGTATACAAACGGGTTGATATACGTTCTGCAAGCTCGACAACGCACGATCGTGTTGCATTGAATTACCGCCAAGTGCTGCTACGACGAATAAGAAAAATTCCATTATTGAAATATATTTTCAAAAGATATTTCAAATAATCAAATAATGTAGGTTATTTTTCACAAATTCTCGGAATAAAGTATAAATAAGTATTAAAATTATAAATGTATAAGACTTTTAAGAATCACCGATTTAAGGTAATTCTCTGAAATTTTAGATAAATGCACTATATTTTATATCTTAACTGAGACATTAGACTGAAGAAAGCTATCCTCAAAATTACTGCCAATTACTAGACTTAAAAATATATCAAGTTTTTCAATAAGTAGTAGCAAGCTTCTAATAAATGTATTTTAAATCACTTACGTTTAAGTCCTTAAAGGGATGTATCAGTACACCGAACGGTAATCTCGACTTTTGTAGAAGCGAATTCGATTCTGGTACTTTTGTCAACGTACACCTGAATATCCTATAAGCATTTTACATATTTCGTGAGAACAACATTTGTATATTGTATATTACGTCATCATTGTATCTCGAATTCTTTGATTCTTATAAAAAATTCAATTGTTTGAATTTATAATTGTCACATTTATTTACAATTCGGAATTCTAAAGTTTTGACCACATTGCTTTTGAAGCGCTTTGATCTCTTAATCTCTTATGCCCATTTCCACCAATCTAGTTTTAAGAATTAGAAAAAGATGAAGAATAAGTTGAACCGAGATTAAAATTAATCTACGTTGGTGGAACCGGGCATTAATGATTGTAGTTAAAGACTTGAGAGTGTTTAGAACAATTTTTTTAACTCTTTGCATTTGTACCTAAATTTTTTTGATTATAGTAAGGATGCAATCCCTGCATCTTAGATAAAAAGATAAGATAAGATAAGGAAAACTTACTCAGGATTACAATTTACACTATCCAGAAATTCCTGCTGTAACTTGATCTTTGTTGGTCCGACCTTTTCAGACGGCAGTATATTTCTACACTGTAGAAGATCTACCGATTCCGTTCCCTGAAGAATATTGTTAATTAATTATTATATTAAAGTATTACATTTGTACGAGATTGTGTATGTACCACCCACACCCACACACACACACACACACACTCACTCCACCCCCCACCCCACACACACACTGCAGATTAGAATATTTCAATAAAAATAAATACCCATAATTTATTATATCCAGTTTGCGTGACGTTCAGATTACTCATCTGATTATTCAATTGATTCAATTGATCAGGATACGTATTGGGATATCTTCTATTTAACGAGTCTAACGGGACGTTTGTCATCGGGCCGGAATATTGTAAACGAGCATCGTGCTAAAAATGTAATTAAAACTATTAATAAAATGTGGTAGCAATTAGTAAACCACTGGGAATATTATGAATATTATATTAATATTCTATATACAAATTCACGACAAATTAAATGCGTGATTAATAACTCAGAGATGTAAATTTCATTCCTAATATTCCTATTTTTTTTCTTTACACCGGTAAACTGAAAGTCGTATACAAAATGTTTATAGTAAACTGACATTTAGCAAAATCGTAGATACTTTTCTCGTTAGAAAAGAAGAAAAGATGGTTTTCCATGCATCTTTTATACGCTAAATCAGAATCGAGCAATCTTCAAAAAATATGTATCACATTGGGATATGAATTGAAGAGAATTCACTTTTACACTTAATTACCATCTGATGTCCCGGAAGAGGCGGCATCCCTGATGGCGGCGACCTCGCGCTGTGCAATTGATTGACTCCCAAAGGCAGTCCAATGGTTCTTGGAGGTAGCACCGTGGTACTGGCAGTGTCTTGTTGTGGATATTTCCGCTGGATTGCTAAATTTTGATGTACACTTTGACTTTGGGGAATATTTCCCAGCCCCGTAGGGTCCATGTAACCGGTAAGTAAATTTTGCTGAGGCTTCAGAGGCTGAGAACAATAATCGTGCGAGCTCTGTGGATCTACGTGCTGGCTTTGCGAATTAGCGAATAAGTTTTGCGCACTAGAATTCAGTATTGACGGTGCACTGAATATGTTTTGTTGACTTCCATACTTGAGTTGAGAGCTGCTTAAATTTTCAGAAGGCCCGATTGCCGATTGCGCTTGAATATTTCGGGCCCCTGGAATTTGCACGTTGGAAATCACTGGATCTTGCTGCACGTGACTACTATTCTGATTCGATTGCTGTGTGACGTTCGAAGGAGGTAGACTAACGTTGGATGAAAATAGAGTAGCAGGATGTCCTTGATCATGTACGGAGGTCTTGTTTATTCTAGCAGAAAACATTTGACCTCCCACAGCTTGATCTGCAGAGACTTGACTAGGCTTATCGGTACCACTGGACACTCCAGGAACGCCTATAATACTCTGTGGAATATTTGCGGGCAGAGGATTGGTCGCCCACTGATAACTTTGGTTCACTTTGGCAAGCTCCGGTTTAACAGCATCCGCAGACATTAATGATAGGGATTCTGATGTCAGATTTTGGGCTAATGGAGGCATCTGATTTGGAGGAATCACGGGTCTATGCTGAATTTCTTGATTAGGTTGGCTAGGTTGGGATACAAAAGCAGCTGATGATGTACTAACTGTGACGTTTTGATGAGTACTAGTAGCATATTGGTTGTAGATACCAAAGGAACTTATGGGACTACACGTCTGTGATGTTCTAAGCGACGGAGGTAATATATCTGAGCCCTGACATAGTGGCGGCATTGGCGATCGAAGCAACTGAGGCCGATATTGGTTATTGAGATATTGAGTTGGTGAAGGATCTCTGGAAGTTTCCCTGGAGGGATCCCGCGACGATTGTGACGATGGTGTACCTGAAAACATGTTTCAATTTGAACAGTGGACTCTCTAAACAAAACTCACTATCTTCAAATAATATGTTGAATATGTATATAAAGTAATAATAATATATTGCCATTATTTAAAGCTTTGTAACAACAAAAATTTTAAAATAAAGTACTATCTTTGATTAAACAAGTTTCTGCAGAATTTCATATGAATCTATTATCCATTTTCTGACAAATATAAATTTTTGTAGATCTTGTACAATAAGTTTACTTAGTTGTTTACATAAGTTGTTTTCTCTATATAATGTTTAAAAAAACATATTTTTATACAAACAATGTAGACTAATATAAATTAATAATTAATTCCTTATAACTGTTAAGAAATAAAAATACTTTATTACCAAAAATAATTTAAAGGAAAAAAAAACAATTAATTTATTTTTGAAATATTGACTCATCAGTATATACAACGTGGCAATTAAATACACGCGCGCGCGCGTGTGTGTGTGTGTGTGTGTGTGTTTTTATTCAAATAAATATAAGAATAAATTTTTTTCAAAAAAGCAAGAGCTTGATTTTCTATCGTTACGCTTCTTATCGTAGGTAGGTGTATATTAATAAAATCAGAGTTGCCAATAAAAAAATACAATGTAGTGTCCAGATAATATATCATTTTACCAAGTACCAAAATGAAGTATATTAACTGAGCAACAAAATTGTTTGCTTAGACTGTCTTCAGCTAATCGTTTGGCTACTTGCTGAGAAAAAATGAGATACAATGAAAGTGAGCGATATAAAGTAGCCTGCTTACTTAGGTGTTAAAAACAGTACAGTAGATACTGACTTAATGTCATGAGCAAAGTGTAGAGAATATAAATATTTGCTCAAGACTCAAGAATAAGAACGAGAAAGTCTATAGTCAAGTATCTGAATGTAGAGGAAATGATTTCTCATACATTAACCAAGTAAAGTTGTGATATATTATTCAGATACTAGATATTGTATAAATTATGGATAAGACAAAAGATTGTTTTTTTGTATAAACTTGCAATAAAAACTTACCAGTCAGATTGAACTGAGGGGACTGCATACCATTTTGTTGAGATGCAAAATTTTGACCATTTACTATAGGTGATGTGTCATTCTTCAAGGGATTGTTAGATTCTGCATATAGTGGATACTGATAACCACTAGATTGTGACATTTTTTCTTTTGTTTTAATAGTCACTGAAATAAAACATATAAACAATTATATTGTTTTTCAAAAATACAAGCTTAAATTCTTCTTATATGTGTGAGTTGAGAAATATATGTGTCAAGTTGAGAAATAATTATAAATGATCTGATTTTAGTTTCACTTTTACTTTTGTTTAGTTTCCATTTTACTTTTGTTTTGTAAATCAAACATAAAAACAGTCTAGTACAGTTACCTCCAGTAGTAACATCTTATGACACTAATAAACTGCAGATCTACACCAATTAGTTGCACAAAATAGCTCACAAATTCTACTAAGCATAAAGAAACTGCAAAAAGCTGTGAATAAAAAAACTAGACTAGTTGAAAGAAAAAAGTCAATTGCACCAAGCTCATTTCATAACAATTAACATTCCAATAATCTATAATGTATAGATAAAGTATAGATTAATTAGGATTAGACAGGTTTGACGTTTGAGCAGTTAAAGCGCATTGTCAGCGCGACGAGAGGTTAAAATATGGAAGATGGACTCGAGTACCTAAATATCTCGCCTACCTTTATGATAACGCAAGTCGTCTTAAATTAGGTACGGATGGATGCAGGTTCGCACATCGCTCCCGTTGTCGCTTATCTCCACGCGGTTCCACAAGACAGTATAATTGCAACAATTCGTGAATGAACGAACAACACACACAACATTACGTGGCAGGTCGTACGACTGCAGCGCCTTGAACGATGGCATGAGGTGGTACCAATAGTGAATATACAAGAGTAAGGGTATATCCACACAACTTGAATAGGTGCATAAGCATATGCAAGTTCGTTTGGATACCTTAAGGCACGTTCTGAATTTTCTCATATATATCATAAGGCTTATATACCGGGATGCACGCCCATAGACATTTAAGGCCGGAGCACAGACTTTTACATAAAGCATAACGCATAAGCATAAGGAAATTGATTGGTCTATATATAAGCATAAGCAAATGCATAAGGAAATGGACCAATCAATTTCCTTATGCTTATGCGTTATGCTTTATGCAAAAGTCTGTGCTCCGGCCATATGCGTTATGCTTTATGCAAAAGTCTGTGCTCCGGCCATTATAGTATACACCATTGAGTAAAAAGAAACAGGAGGGAGCGTTTGGTCTTAAAAGTGCGGACGGAAGTGACTATATAAAGTGGTCGCTCAAGATGGCCGCTCAAGGGCGCCAATATTGAATGACTTGTTATGTTTAATTAGGAAATAATGTACAATTAAAAGAAAATAACTATAATATGCAACAAAAATACCAAATTTTAATGGCGTTTTTCATTGGGATTGCACTCGTGCAGTATTTCCATAAGAGCAATGTTAAAATCTAAAATCTAAATTTATATTAAATCCTTCGTCCTTACAAAAATTTATCCATGCATTTCTTTGATCCGGATTTTTCGGAAACCTGTTTGTGAGTGAAAATTATTTAGTAATTATTGTGAATTTACAATTTCACAATACTATACATATGATTATAATCTCCAAAATAAAAATCTCATTATTGTTGATAATACTAACCGATGAAACGTTATTCCATGATTTCAAGCTGCTGCTGTTATGCCACAAGCTCTACAGTATACCATTTTGATCGTTTATTTCCATACACTGTTGCATAAAAGACTATACACTGCATATTAATGCGTACGGCGTACGGTATGCCGCTTGCCGCTATGCTCGAGCATTCCCTCTCACTTTCAAAAAGTGGTCGCTCAAAATGGCTGCCATGACGTACATCCGTCTGCGGATTTACCTAGTCCTGGCTAGTATATGCTCCCTCCAGTTTCTTTTTACTCAATGGTGGGAATTCGGCCAGAGAGGTACTTGCAAAAGTGTCCAATTTTTTGCATTCACATAAGGTCTGTTCTTTATAGCTGAACTGGCTGCACTAGTTCAGAGTTTATCTTTCTCCTTTCAATATGGAGAGAAAAAGATAAACTCTGAACTAGTGCAGCCAGTTCAGCTATAAAGAACAGACCTATAGTAAAATGATGGGTGTTAATCAACCAAACTCGCGCTGAAAGCTGACCAATCGCATCGCGAGACATTTCTAGTCAATTCTCTTTAGTTTTTTTATCGTTCAGTGATTGCCGATCATGCAAGTATGAACATAGTGGAGAATAGGTCAACGATAGCGAACGCTAGCGTCACCGCTAAACAGCGTTTATGCATATTTCGCTATTTAGATTACAATTGATTACAACCGATTATGCGCTGCAAGATTGCGTGCAAATTGATTTCGTAAAAGTGAACACAACATATATATTAGGAAAAAATATGTAGTGCGTTCTCAATGAAGCTCCCGATAGAGACTCTTACGGGAAATAATCACGAGATTCGTGTTTATTGTAAACGTATTGCGGAATTGACTGCCTTACAAGGAACGTACACAGAATCATTTTCTACTTTTTGTGGATATTGTACATTTCATTAGACAAATTCTCAAAACTTTTTCGACTGACTGATGTGAGAAGCATCTGATGCTAAAAAGTGTTGGTGATAAAACACTGCCAGTGGATCAGTGTATTTCGTAAAGATTTCAAAAGTGTTTCTATCCAATTAAGAGACTGTCAAGGATTTTTAAATGATGATGATATATTTTTAACTTGAAGTATTCTATAAATGCGACGAAGAATCGTCCTGCGAGTACTTAATGCAAATGTGGGCAAAAAGAAGCGTCACGTAGCAATTCGATTTTCTGATGGCATCAAGCATGTGATACATTATATCGATTTGTGTGCGACGAATATATATATTAAAAATGATACGCGTGGCAATCGAGATTTTTATTCTGCTTCTCGTCAACGTGTTCGCATATCAACATACCACAGTGGACCAATGCGACTGGTCTGGAAGGTTAGTGCTTTCCATTATCGTTAGTTCCATTAAAGTAAATAATAACAGAGCGTAATCTTTTAAAAAACTTTTAGCAGGCACAAGCACACAAGATGTAATTGTTGAACAAGTTTCTTCTTAATGCATGTTAATAAGCAAATTGTTTCTATCCAATGCGACAAGTAGTATATATATATACATATATATGTAGTAAATCATAAATTTACAATTGTATATATTTATATTTATATATATACATTAATGCTTGTGTAGTGGAGGAGGAGAAGGCGGTGGTGTACGGCCGGTGTATCTACGCTGTGCTCGAGGAACAGTATTATGGCATTATCCTCATGATGCTTTGAGAGTGGTCCTCTCATTTCCAGCCTCGTCTACGGCAAACCCTTCTCCCGACTACTCTAGCCTAGGTTTCCGTGTTTGTGTCAAGATTTCTGGGCTTGCACGAGTGTTCCTGGAAACTGGTAGCAAGTTGAGGCAACTCTACTCTCCGTCTGACGGCAAACACGAATCCTCACACAGATGCTTTCGATCGCGGAAACATATCGTCGCACTTTATATGGAAGCAGAAGACGATTATTCTTTTAAAAATGCCAAGGTCAAACTCCAGTACGATCTGGAGTCAAACTCGTTGAAAGGGAATATGTTGCATATCACGGACGAAGAAGAGGATTGCAGACCCTGTTCCATGGAGGAACTCGCTAAGGCTTATTGCCAGAGTGACTTTGTTGCCAGGGGCACGGTCACGGCCGTTCAGCAACAGCCTGAATTAAATGCTGCTGAATTACTGCTTAGAGTCACCAAGATTCTGCGAGTAATCCAGGAGGCTGAGGTAAAACTTTACGGGACAAAATGGGCTTTGTTCTCGATCTTTGAATGGACTTATTTATAAAGAATAAAAATTTTTTATCATATGATAGTATAAATGTTGAATACATTATAAAAATAAATATTGCATACGTGTATATTAAGTAATAATTAAAAATCAAACATTCGAAAAATGACATGTGTTTGGAAGTGTGTTTTCATTGGTTAACGATAGGATATATGGAAATAAATTTACATTACGGAAAAAACGTAATAGCAACAATTGCATATGATTGATGTGTACTTCTAAATTTACCATATTTAATAAAGGTTTTACTGTATTGTAACGTTGCAACTAGTGACGCTACAATTGGTAATGTTACTACACAGTAGAAGCATTCCACTGCTTTTCAAATGTTTCTTATTTTTAAGATAAATGTTTCCAATAATCAAAATAATTATTTACATATTTAGTAATATATAATATTTTTTTGTTATTTTTCTCGTAATTTTACTTGGAATATTTAAAAAAAAATATAAAAAATGGGTCCATTCTCTCTCAAGTATAACGTAATTGAACTAAATTGCAAAATACATTATGTGTTAGCAGAGTAACGAAAGCGTCGACACAATCATGTCTTTCAAGAAGAACGTACGCGTGAGAGTGGCACTGGCATGCGACGCGCGACACGGTCTTGGCGAATTTGTTATAATGGCCAAACGACGTCTCGGTGATCTCATTCTGGTGTGCGCACCGAGACTGGAGGTGTGGGCGCAAGCCGTACAAGAAATGGACGCCGCGCCCTGCGTCCTCAACAGCTAGCCGATGCGATTTAAAATGATTTTCTTTGGAAAGTAAAAAACTGGTGGGAAAACAACAGGTATGAGCAGTGGCAAATTGATTTTGAGAGAAAGGTTTGAAACTAATGTTTCCAAAGGGCCCTCTTACGGTCGATTATAGATTTGAAACAGTTTCACATTTTTTTCATGATAGAAAAACACTTTAAAATGATGAGTGCAACAATTGTCTTTAAGGTAGTTATCTTGTGACAATATTTTTTAAAAGTTACACATAATTTAAGGAAAAACTTGAGTAAGTTAACTCAAATGTCTGATAATGTAGTTTAAAATGTAAAATTGCAATATATTTTTGATAATAAATATCAAACAAGTTTTCGCAAAGAAATATAGTAAACTTTTGGTTGCGTCTATTCATTGATGCATATAATATTTCCACGCTATTCATATTTTCACTATTTAACTTCTTTACGTCAAGCATATTATAAAAATTGTTTTCTCTTTATCTACAAATATTATTTAAAAACTTTCTACAATACTTTTTTAATACTGTTTATAGTATTTTTATAACTTTTTCTTATATATAAAGAGTATATACATAAAATTATACATAAAGAATATATAATATTTCAAGTTTTTTATGAAAAAAAACCACAGAAGAAATTTTGAAATTCGAAATAATGAACAAAATGTGACGATTAAAAATTTGAATAGATTTTATGTGAAATTTTTTCAAGAAGTTTTAGAAATCTTTAATTTGACAATTAAGATGTAAATTTCGTATTATAAAGGTAAAAAATAAAAAATTAGAGTGAAATATGATTGCATATATGCACTTGAGGGATTAAGCATTATTAGCGAATTGGTAGATCCGCCACTGGCTTACGAGTACAGTATTATATTGTATAGCTGGAAATTTTTGTAAAATTATTTGATAGAGCAATATATCGAAAAATTGTTGACCTAGCCGTTTATATAAAAACACTGTCTACACGGAGAAACTGTTTGTGTATACAGCGCGCACTATCAGACTGTCGATCTCCAAACTGTGATATTATTTGTTGCATTAAAAAGAAGAGTGTGCGCATGAGGAGACAGAAAGTATATTTGTTTTAATACTCGCTTTAAGACGTTTTCCAAGTTGACAATCCGTTTCATTGCATTTTTCGTTGAATTTTAGCATACCTTATTAAGAATAAGCGAATAAGAACTTTAATATAAAATTAATTTTTGCAAAGATGGGTTGCCAGCTTCATAAATGTTTGCTTTACAGAGTTGCGATTATTGTATACAGAATATTTTAGATATTGCGCACTATCCCCTCAACAAAAATCTCCTTAGACATAGTCTTCTCTTATAGTTTTTGACCTCCCTTTCACCCTCCTCCGCCCCCCCCCTCAGTTACATCTTAAATAATTCCTCAAAATAAACAAAGCAGTTAAAAGAAAAAAGAAAAAAGAAAAAAAAGAAAGAAAAAACTTAAGAAATGTTAAATCTTAATTGAGAAAAATTTATACACTTTTACATTTTATATCAAATGACATTTTTCTCTCCTTTTGGCTTGCTCGTATTGCGTTGTTTGCTTTAAGGAATCATTAAATATTTAAACTTATTTAAATTTTGTATAACTTCTCAAGATAAAAAAAAGCAGTGTAAGGAAGTTGTAAAAACGAAAAATAATTTTACATAAGAAAATAATTTTCTTATACAAATCCAGCGTCTTTCCTTTTTGCAACTTATTTATGCTGTTTTGATATCTTGAAAAATGTTTAAAATGTTATATATGGTTAAAGAATAGAAAATATTAATGAAAAAGTCATACTTTTCGAAAAAAATTGCATTTTTATGCTGCTAATAAATGTGATAGACCTATATGCAAGCATCATCAGTATTTTATTTGTATTCCGAGTGCACAGCGTAACAAATTAAAAACTGCAATTTTATTCTAACTTTTTTATACTTTTATTCTAATAAAACTAGATTTTTTATTCTAACTTTTATATCGAATTGTAGTTTATATCTATAACTTTTTATATAAAAACGTTATTTTTGTATGGAAATAATAAGAAAATGTTTATTTCATTGAAAAGCTCGAATAACAGTACTTTAAAAATTGCTTTTAGCATTTACTGTCAAGAGAAAAATGCACAACAGTTAGGATGCACATCGTATAATAAAGTTATGTAGGTTTGCTACGAAATTGAGATTATGCTACTTATATTATGTAAATTGGTTATAACATTTGTAGAGATTTGATAAATGCATTTTGTAAATCGGATATCGATCGGAATAATTGTTCTTGTCAGTACGGCAAAAGAAATATAATATGCGATAAATAAAGAAAAACTTGAAAACAAAAGAATCGTACTTTTAATGTACAAAGTGCATTGTACATACATATAACAAAGATAATATAATAATCATTTATTGTGGTGAGTTTGAATCAGAATTGTCGGTAGGACAATAAGATAAGAATCTTCTGATAAGAAGTCAGTAGACTGATAATTTACAATAATTTATTTTTACAAAAACAGTGTTACAATATACCTGTGATTTGACTCTGGAATCACAACGTGAGATCAACGTGGACCAAGTTGGAACGAAATATCATTTATAAAATCTTTACAAAATATATTAGCTTTGTTCATTAAAAGCTTTACATTTAAACTTATGTATGTATGACTTCCGCAATGTAAACTGTCTTATGTTTAATAAACAAAATTTTTTATACTGAAAAATATGGTGACTTCTATCACAATAAAATCACGTTATGACTCTAGAGTTTATTCTACATGTAATCTCCCTGAGACACGCAAATACACGAACGCTCATACACATATTTGTATAGTATCAAACGAAATGACACGCATCATGGATCAAACTGGCTAGTAAATGCAAAACGTATGTTTGATTACACATACACGAATGTTTTGTTTCCTTTCTTCTAACGTTGTTGAATGAATAAAGTAATCTACTTACTCTAATCAATCAGAGACAAAGGAAAGTAAATCTTTTTGCCGTAATACATTCATTAGTTGAATTGAAATAAAATTTACATATTTATTTATGATCCAATTGACCGATGTAATACAGCTCTGCGTTCTCATTTCAACAGCCGTATAGGCAAAATTATATAATACTTTGTTGTCACGCTTACAATTTGCGCGATTGTCGTTTTTTTTGTCGTCATTATTAAACTACTACATA